CAGAAACAAACTGTGTGGTAAGAGTCTTGGATGACAGTGCGAGTAAAGCACTGAGTAAAGTGCAACGGAAATCAATTAGAGCTGGATGTACGACCCGAAGGAAGTCGATCTTAGGCGGGAGGCGGTGCAAACAACTACCGAGTGCGGACTCTTGTATACTACGTACGGTAACGATTGGACGAACCATGCGTTGAGACAAGCAGACGTCCACTGACATCACTGTCAAGACAAAAGAAACCTAAGATTGGGTTGAACCCATACGTAGGCCGTCGTCATCGTCATCATCATCATTATCAGCTGTAATGACCGCGTACTTTTCGTACAGTGGTTGTAGCTGCCACAGTTTCGTTCACCGATGATTCGGAGAGGTGGGGTAGGTAGCTGTGCAGTGGAGGCGGGAACTGACAAATTAGTGCGTAAATACGGCACTGCCAGTGGACTTTTAAATGGAGAGATTGGGAAGGGAGCTATGCATTGAAGGCAATAGCTTGGATGCATAAGTGCCATTGAGGGAGCTCAATGTTACGAATAGTATCCAGAAGTTTCCATCAAGTTAGATGCAAAATTTATATTGCGCGGGAATTCAGAGCAACTCATCGAATCTCCCGAAATGGAAGCCAGCCTCATCGAATAGAGAATTCCGTTATGACTTCAATCCCATCGTCACCCACCCATCGTGATTATGATGGAAGGCATTACCACAGACTTCAATGCATAGCTCTCTTCACAATCCTCTCACTTAACAGTCCACCTACAGTGCTGTATTAACGCACCAATTTGTCAGCTCCCGCCTCCAATGCGCAGCTACCTACCCACCTTCCCGAATCATCGCTGAACGAAACTGTGGCAGCTACAACCACTGCACGACAAGTACGCGGTTATTAGGTGCGCAACCGTCACACCACGGTAAGGTCCAGTCTCTTCGTGACGGGATACATAAACCTGTATTCTTTGATTACGATGACAGTAATCCAATAGTTGCCTGGAGAAGACTCGACTTTTAAAAAAAACACCATCTGAAGGACCAAAGGGACGTTTGGGATTTCCTCTTGCCTCTGACACCTGTCTTTTGAAAATTCAGTTTAATCCAATTGAAAGGTGCATTAAAAATAAGTGCCAGTGTGCAGTGCCAGAGCGCCTTGTATTAGGGATTCAACATACCGAATGAACAGGAGCATGGGGCGAGGCACTTGCTGGAGAACAGCCATAACACGGTCGAAGTGTTCAGCTGCAGTGGCTCGAAGAAACATTCGGTCCGCTTCGGTCAAACGGGCTGGTAGATACAACGTTTTCCGCCGCCAGGGCTTTTGCAAAATCACATCACCAAACGTTGCCCAATCTGCAGAGGAGGGTGAGAACGATAGGGAGGTTCATTGGTACTACTTTACTGTGATAACAAGTACTAGCTTTTCGCCAGAACAAGTAGGTATTCTATCGAATTCGGGTAATAACTAATTCGGTGCACCATTCGGTGGACAATGATGGCGCCACGATATGTCGGGAGTTCAGTAATCGCGAACAACAATGTTGTACAGAGAAGCGAGCAGTCTGGCTACGTGCTCATCACAGGGACCTACTGTGACGTTCGATAGAGTTGAGATGGCCCATGTGGTTAGAGCGCGAATTTACTGACCGGAAGGTCCGTGGTTCGAACCCGACCTATGCCTCTCGACTTCCCCTGTCTAGGCTTGGGCAACCTGCCAGTATCCCAGCCTCATGCCTCCTTCACGTGGCAAGGCAGCTAGGAATCGAAAGGGTGCTACAGCTGAACGATAGAGTTAGGAACGCTGATGGTTCCAGAAATCTGGAAAATGAATACGGAAATATGTAGAAGTCTGGGCTCAATCGAAATTTCGCAACAGCGATTCCAAAATAAGCAGGTCGAATACTCAGCAAACGGGGTGACCTTCGAATCTGCTGCCAGTCACTTAGGCTGCAATTCTACTAATCTTCGAGAAAGTCCCATAAAGCTCCCATGCAACTGACCAGGATCCTCCGCGACATTGCCATTTGTCAAAAATCTAGAAGTTGATAATAATGGGAGAATTGTCAAGTTTCAACGGAAATTCCTTCGACGCTCAAAAGCTGTTTGATCCTTGTTGAAAACCCGCAGCAGCGCGGTTTGAACCCGCGACCTTCCGATTATAGTTGAACACCATAACACGGCCACGGGTGTTTGGTCAGCAGTATGACTAACTTACACATAGAGAGGATGAAGTATCATCATCCCCTAACCACTAAGTTCTGACAAGACCGCTTAAAGAATGTGGGCAATGTTGGGTGCAAGCCTAATGGCGATTCCTTGATCTGGCGACGGAGACTATCTATAGCTGAAAAGTGCCTCAGAGGAAGGCTAATTTCACAAGTGATGAGAATTCGTCACTCAAGGAATCAATCAATACGTCATGTGGCGCCATAGCCTGTCCAGTTAAGGGCAAATCACACTGCTGATCAGTCGCTCATGGCTGAATGGTTGAGCATCACATCATGTGGCGCCACAGCCTGTCCAGTTAAGGGCTCAGTCGCTCATGGCTGAATGGTTGAGCATCCAAACTACCAGTTGGAAGGTTGCGAGCTCGAGACTCCCTGAAGTTCCGTGCCTACGATTGCGAACCAGGATGAAACAGCTCCTCCGCTTTCCAGCTTTTGATTGACAGGATGAAATCTCATTTGACATCTCCTCAATGTAGTTGAAGGGCTAGGCCATTTGTTGACAGAGTGATGCGAGACTACCTCCAAAACTGGTATTTCCGACGAAGGAGTAATGCTTCTTTGGTATCCCGAGGGACGTCACATTCAAAGGCACCGATACGAAGGTGTGCAATGGCTAGGTGGGGATCTTAGCACGTTGTGGAGGCTAGCGTCATGAATATATATCAGCGTACATCACATAGTCGACCGCAACAAAAAGTGCATCGGAATTGCTAAATCCCAGGCACAGGTCGATAAACGAAAGTTGCAAGCCTGCAAACAGCAGATGGGATACATCAGGCTTTTCGGAACCTAATCTACCGGTTAGTCTCTTTCGGCAAAAAGGGAGAAATTCACAAAAAAAATGTACAAATTGTCGAAGAACTAGCTGTGCTAACCTTGAACACCCAACTCGAATGACGCTTTCTTCATAGCCTCCTCGTTGCAGTCTAAAATAGCTCTGTACATTTCACAGAGGGAAATACGCTGGTTGTGAGGAAGACTGTCATACAGACCGTGGTCCAACAGAACCAGTTGCAAAGGTGTGCTATTTGAAACACCTGGTGCTGCAAAATACGGGGGCACACCGTGTCGGAGCCAATTCCAAGTCTGGACGGGTAAGTGGCAGATAAAATACAACCACATGTAGGTTGTATTGACCACCCGACGTGTTAGGGTGAGGGGAGAAACGAACCAGCGGGATTGTGGATCACAGAAAGGCCGTTTCCGGATGAGTAGATTGCCAGGATGTGGGTCTGCGTGAACAAAGCCTGTACAAAATACCTGGTAACTAAAAACCTGCACTAGAAGTCTGTCGAGATCGGCTAGACAAAAGCCGGCTTCGCGTAGGGCAGCAACCTGAAAGGTAAAGAAATAGCGAAACGGTCGTAAATATACCCATCAAACTCGGTGTTTTACATAGCTGGTTTATCGAGTAGCATGTGGAAAAAACTGAAAGGACGAATGCAGTAATCTCTTAGAGAGGGATCATCACGAAAGGTGAAGATAATAGGCCTGTTTTAGATGGGACCGCTAGTGAGGGACCACGTTTCGAATGCTTTAGTTGACGATGTTCTGCTAAGGGGGGTTATCGTACTTCATGCCAATGCCTGATCCACAACAGCTACGGTAAACTGGATAGATGACTCAGTGACTAGAGAGCAAATTTGCTGACCGAAACGTCCGTCGTTCGAGCCCGGCCGCTGCACCTCGACCTCCCTGCCTAGGCTTCGGCAACTTGGCAGTATCCCAGCCCACGTGCNGTGCTTCCTTCTGGAGGCATGACAGTTAGACGCCGCAAGGGCATTACAGCTGAACACTGAACGTCATGATTAATCCAGAGATCTAAGCTGAAGCCTTAACATTCATTTCCAAACGTCAAATTTCTACATTTCCACATTTTCAGGGTTTCCACGGTGGAACAAAGAAGGAGAACCACGTGAAGACCCCTTCCTGAATGTCCTAATGGATGCCTTCCGTGATTTATCCAAAATTCTCGTGGGAACAACAACGGCTTTGAAGCGAACAGTCACCGAACAATGTTTGGCTAGTAATGTGCTATCGAGGCAGAGCACATTGTTCCGATGAGCAAATGATCACGATATGGAGCGAAAATTGCTGCACCAAGCGTGACTACCTACCATAAAGGGATGGTCATTGCACAGAGTAGCATGTACGCAAACAGTTACACACTTCGTTAACTTTTATCCCGTCGATAAATTCTGCGGTCAGTACCCGTTTGCTCGTCAACTCGCGATTGACCCGGGGAATGTGAACGGCTCCGTCTGGCCGAAGAGTGCCAAGGTGGGCCAAATGAACGGCACACTTTTCCGCGTTGTCTGCCTCATTCTCGAAGTCCAGTTCTTTGGCCAAAGTCTTCTGCAGAGGGGAGGGGGTGGAAGAATAAAGGAAAGACGTTGGTAGATGGTAACAGGCTGACAGCTTGCAGATAAACCGTTTTTATCCTGGTCCTTCCCACTAAATTTGTCAGTATAACCCTTAAAATGATTCTCGATAACAGAATATTACAACCATATTGATTGTCATATCCGCTGATTCGCCAATCTGAGGTATC